CAACACCTTTGACGGACTCGATTTCCTCCAAGACGTGTGTCTCCAACGTTTTGAAGGTGAACTCGACCCTTTCGAGTTTCTCAGTCATTTCCCCAACGACTTGGTCTAACAGCGAGACCTCTGCGCGAGCTCGGCTTTGGTCCCGACGTTTCTTGTCCTTGGTTCCGGTGGTGTGTTCCCACCCTCGGGTTTGCTCTTCACTTACACTCAACCTAGACACATCATGTTCCTTCTCCCCTGCCATACTTACGAGGTACCGAGCGTTGCTCTGATACCACTTGTCACGCCCTTGTTTCTCGAACTTGGTTGCGTGCGGCCTTAGCCTCTCGTGTGCCCTTCGCAACTAGCTAAGTCAGTCTCACCTTGCTCGGGATCGTACTCGGTGTGTGCAAGTGCTTTGGCTAGAGAAAGTGAGAAAAGAGAACTTGAAGGGAAAATGCTTTTATTACTCAAACTCTAGTACAAGTGAGCTCTCAAGACTTGGATGGTTTGCAAATGAGGGGGCCTCCTCTATTTATAGGCACCACCTCCTCTAAGGAATTCTCTAGATCCTTCAAGGGTCTTGGTCTTTCTAGACCCCACCACACAAATCCTAATCTTTCTACATATGTCCTAGAACCTTCTACACAACTCAAGATGATTCTTGCCCTTTCTACAAGTCTCTACAAGGTTCTAGGATGTTCTTGTTCCTACTACAAATATCTACATTATTCTGGAGCCTTCTAGAAGCTTCCAATCAAAACTAGACTTTTCTAAAGACTTCCATATACAAGTAACTAGGCTTGGTGGTGGCCTAGTGTGAAAAAAGGCGAGCAAGACTCGCATGCGTGCGAGGAGTGTTGCTTGGGCGTTACATTGGGGTCCTTTTTCGTGAAATTCTTCAAATTTGATTTTTGATATTTACTTCATTTAATAGTAAATTATTTAGTTATATCATTTATTATTCTGATCTGATTGTGTTTCTTAACTTTTAGATGCAGATCTTCACCCTTGCTGGAAAAATCATCACTCTCGAAGTTGAGAGCTCCGACACCATTTACATCGTTAAGGCCAACATCCAGGAAAAGGAAGGAATTCTTTCGGACCAACAACATCTCATTTTCGCCGATAAACAGCTCGAGGACGGGCGAACCCTCGCCAACAATAACATCCAGAAGGAATCAACCCTTCACCTCGTCCTCGGTCTCCGTGGTGGTATGCAGATCTTCGATAAACAGCTCGAGGACAGACGAACCCTCGCCAACTACAACATCCAGAAGGAATCAACCCTTCACCTCGTCCTTCGTCTCCGTGGTGGTATGCAGATCTTCGATAAACAGCTCGAGGATGGGCGAACCCTCGCCAACTACAACATCCAGAAGGAATCAACCCTTCACCTTGTCCTCCGTCTCCGTGGTGGTATACAGATCTTTGTGAGGACCCTCACTGGTAAGACCATTACCATTGAGGTTGAGAGTTCGGACACTATTGCCAATGTCAAGGCCAAGAACCAGGTCAAGGAGGTCCTATTAGTAATTTTTTTCAAGGCCAAGAATCAGGTCAAGGAGGTCCTATTAGTAATTTTTTTCAAGGCCAAGAACCAGGTCAAGGAGGTCCTATCAGTAATTTATTTCAAGGCCAAGAACCAGGTCAAGGAGGTCCTACTAGGAATTTTTTTCAAGGCCAAGAACCAGGTCAAGGAGGTCCTACTAGTAATTTTTTTCAAGACCAAGAACCAGGTCAAGGAGGTCTCATCAGTAATTTTTTTCAAGGCCAAGAAGGTCTCATCAGTAATTTTTAAGGCCAAGATCTTATCAATAATTTTTTTTCCTATTTTATTGAGCTTTTTTGTTGTTTTTGCTAGTCTTGTCAATGTCAAGGCTAAGAACTAGGTCGAAGAGGTCTTATCAGTAATTTGTTATTCTCCTTTTCTTTCTATTTTGCTGAGCTTTTTTGTTCTTTTTGTTAGCCATGCATACGTCATTTTCTGTAATAATCTAATTTCTCTCTATACTTGAGTCTATTTCTCTTGTTTTGTCCAAATGTTGATTACGAAATAATGTTCCCGTCCGTTACTTTCATAGATTTCTTATGTTTTCCAAAAAAATTTCTTTTATTGCTTGAAATTTCTTTTTTCTATTATTCTACATTAATGCTAAAACAAATATTCTTAAAGACAAGGAGAAGATATTTTAAATAAGAAATAAAATTTTTATATAAATAAATTAAAAATTATAATTTCAAGAACTGTGTATAATTTTTTGCAAACTATTTTTATATAAATTAAATAATTAATTAATTAATTATATATATATATATATATATAATGATGAGGAACAAATTCTTTGAAATATGTTGATATTCATCCCTGTTAAACTTGGGACAACTGGACAACATTATCATTGTAGAGTGGGGTTAGTGTGTCGTATGTTTTTTTTATATTATAATAATATTATTATGCAAGAAAACTTCGTAATGAAGTTTTTCTCATGCACGATAAAATTTTTCTTTTATATGTGTGCATACGAAACGGGAGAGGAGGCGGGATCTAAATTTCTCTCTCATCTTTCTTCTTCTTTTGTCTAAATTTCAAGCAACGATACTCTACTCGTACAAGATCTAGTGAAACGGGAGAGAGTTTGAATTAAGTGGGAAAACTTTGATAGAAATATAATACAAGGTAAGGGGAAGTTTAATTCATTCAATATATGAGACTGAATTGTTGAGTACTCTGTGAATAAGGAATATGATTGGAAATCTGAATATTAGAATGATTGATTTTGAAGATTTCTCATGTTTTGCAAAACTTGAAATTTTGTTGGAATTCTTGAAATTAAAGATGAATTATATGGTAAAATTGTTGTTTTCAACTTAAATTTGATATAATTCATGTTTAATTTGAATTTGGAACTAGTTTGGTTGTCTAAAATTGAGTAATTTGAAATCTGCAAAAATCTGCAAAATTTGATATTATTCTTGTGAGCGAGGAAGAAGAAAGGGATAAGAGAGAAATTTTTAAAAAGATCAAGGGTAAAATAATCATTTTACATCCTAGGGTCATAAATGGAATTTTCGAAAATGTTCAAGGGTAAACAGTCATTTTCGGGACATGGAAGGAATTTTCGAAAATATTTAAGGGTAAAATAGTCATTTTTGGGACATGGAAGGAATTTTCGAAAATGTTCAACGGTAAAATAATCATTTAGGAACATACATGAAATTTTAAGAAAAGATTAAGGGTAAAATAGTAATTTAATAATTTCGGAAATAATTTCGGTATATATATATATATATATATATATATATAATATAGAATGAAAGTAGTAGTTTTAAAGAATCAGCAGTGTGTTGTGACGTGTATGGGTTAGACTGAGCTTGAGGGATGATGCCCAGAATCAGTCATGAGACGTTATATATTGGCTAGACTGAGTTGGAGGGTTGGTGTCCACAATCAGTCAAATACTATTATTTATTGACCCGAATGAGCCGTGAGGACAGGTGGTCCAAAATCCGACAAATGTGAATGATTTTTGTTGTGTTTGAATGATACCCAGGGTGGTATAATAACTATGTCTGAGGATTCTGAATGAGGTCCCAGACTTCACTTATTGGTCGGGTCAAGTAAACTACAAGATCAGGTGGTGAGAAGTCTATGAGAGGATGACTAGTGGCGCACTCGGAGGGGTACTCCACTATGAGTGATGAAGGGCGCCAGTAATCCTACTCTGTGTGGAGGGTGGTCAGAATGGTACTGCGGGTGCCGATCATAATATGCCCACAGATGATAGCCTCTGAGTTCAGACATAGTTAGGGTATACTTCCGGAAGGTGTCTTAGTGTGTTGATGATTTTGTAATTGATCATAATATGTAATTATTACTTCTATATCTGTTTTATTATATTGAATGATTTAATACTTACCCCTATCTTTCCATGTGGATGGGACTGCGATGATCACTTTTATGTGGGAGTAAATTATGGAGTTGAGAGGTGGAAATGTGACTACTGCACAACAAGAATAGTTCAGTGAGATAGCTTTGTGGGAGCTACTTTTACATATATTCATATAAATAAATTATGTTACTATGTTTTGAGGTTTCGTTAATGAACCGGAATTTCACTCTATGTTACAATTACGGTAATATAATATAAGATAGATGTTGTTATTTACTTATTTATTATTTTGCAAAGACATCATTATAGTAACAATTCCTATGATCGTTACAACAATGTAATACCAATATTTCTTCTCTGAAAACATTTAAATTTTATATTAATGAAAAACGTTTAACTCGGATTATTTTGTACTGTATAAAAAAGTCAATTACTAGTCAAATTAAATACCTAGTGATATATGAATAGTTTTATTTGATAAATAATACAGTAGTTTTTTATAATAAAAAATACTTAATAATTATAGTTTGATGATGAAAATCATAAATATCACCTAACAAAAACTCTTGATAATTATGACAACTAAATTATTGTGATTAGATGGCAAAACTCTGGGTCTTTACTCTAACAATTTTTAAACAGAATTTGGCAAACATATATGAAATTACTCATTTATATAATATAAGTTTAATATTTAATAAAAATACTAAAGATGATTGAAAACTTTATATATATATATATATATATATATATATATATATATATATATATATATAACTTCTCATCTCAATATTTTTTAATTTAATAATTATAAAAATTTATCTTCATTATTAAATTATAAAATAATAAATTTTGAAATGGTGTATAACTTCTTTTATATAAATAATTATTTATTTTAAACATTAAAAAAGATATTTGTCATTCATTCTATAAAAAATTCTATTGAAATATATATATATATATATATATATATATATATATATATATATTTAATCTTCGTTTTAATTTATTTATTTTTTAAAATAATAATTAAAATAATAATTAATCTCAAAAAATATAAATACGTCCACCTCACATATCACCCGCCTCGTAAACATCAAATAATCACGTATAGAGACGCGTCACAACATGATTGGAGAAGGTTCCACCCTTTGGCTATAAAATGGTTCAAACCCCTTCGCGTTCCTCACAATTCAATTCCAAATAAATTAGGTCATTTTATTTACGCAGTTTCCTATCTCTCCCTTCAAGATTCGTCCATTTTATTGTATTTTTCTTAGTGAGTGAATTATCCCTTTGTATTTTTCTTCTTTATTCGTTGTGTGAATTATCCTTTGTATTTTTCTTTTTCATTTGTTGTGTGAATTATCCTTTTTTTCCACGAGTTTATCTATTAATTATCCCTTTGTATTTTTCTTCTTCATTCGATTTGTGAATTATCCCTTTTTTCTCACGAGTTTGATCTATTTTAGATAGGATTTGCACAATTTCATCTTTCTTAAATTCATCTTCATAATTATACAATTTTTCTTTTATCGTAGATTAGGTCTAATCCTAATTTTATACTTGATATTTACTTCATTTAATCGTAAATTATTTAGTTATGTCATTATTTATTATTTATTATTCTGATCTGATTTGATTGTGTTTCTTAACTTTTTAGATGCGAGATCTCATCCTCAAAGGAAGAACAATCGAGTCTCAAAGTTGAGAGCTCAGACACCATTTACAACAAGATCTAGGAAAAGGAAGAAATTCTTTCAGACCAGTAACATCTCATTTTGGCCGATAAACAGCTCGAGGACATGCGAACCTCGCCAGCTACAACATCTAGAAGGAATCAACCCTTTACCTTGTCTTCCATCTGTGTGGTGGTATGCAGATCTTTGTGAAGAGCCGAGGTCTTATTAGTAATTTTTTTTGAAGGTTAATAGTTCTTATCAGTCATTTTTTTGAAGGTCAAGAACGAGGTCATGAAAGTGTTATTAGTAATTTAAGAATATAAGAATCAGGCTAAGGAGGTCTTATGAGTAATTTTTTTTTTTTTTCAAGACCAAAAATCAGGTCAATAGGTTTTATCAGTAATTTTTTTTAAGGTCAAGAACTAGATCAATGTGGTCTTATTAGTAATTTTTTTCAAGGTCAATAACAAGTTGAAGGTCTTATAGTAATTTTTTTTCAAGATCAAGGTCTTATCAGTACTTTATTTATTTTTCTAACTTTTTTGTTGTTTTTGCTAGGCTTGCCAATGTCAAGGCTAATAACTCGTTGTTCTCTTTTTCTTTCTATTTTGCTGAGTTTTTGTTCTTTTTATTAGTCATACGTCCTAATTTATCTTTATTCTTAAGTCTATTTCTCTTGTTTTGTCTAAATGTTATTACAGAAATAATGTTCTCGTTACGTTACTTTCGTCTCGTTACTTTCATAGATTTCTTTAGTTTTCCAATTTTTTTTCTTTCTTTGTTGAAATTTTCTTTTTAATGCTAATACAAATATTCTTAAAGACAAAGATAATATATTTTAAATAAGAAATAAAATTTTTAGTTTTTCAAAATAAAATGAAAATTTGAGCTTTACTATGGTTTCTATTTTATACATATATTATATATCATGTTTTTATAAAACATGGGAGTAAAAATACCTATATTAATTTTTGTGAAGAGTATATCACAATTAATCTGTTTCAATTCCATCCATTCGACAATGTCTTTCTTCCCGAAGCTCCTATTGCTGATACTCATAGTGGTCGTCTCCTCAGCGACGGCCTCCGACGACGAAAGAGTGAAACTATTCTTCTTTTGTGGTAAGGATTAAATTGACGAAGGAGGAGGTGTGCTGTTCTCCCATTAAGACAAAGGAAAAAGTATCGAGGAAACGATTTTTGGGGACGGTGAAGGAGAAATGTTGGGATTGAATAACATTGATACTTTGCAGGATTTATATTTTTTTATTGTATGTAGATATGGTATTTAATTGGATGGAGTTATCGTGAGTACCAAACAATAAAGATGATGGTTCAATTATCATCTAAAGGGGACATTTTCATTTATTTAACAATTTGATGGTTCGATCTTATTTGAGCAATTTAATTCAATAAAAGAAAAATACTCATTTCAAAGAAATGAATATAGATTTAAACTTACAACTTCATTAAAACTAATGGCTATGACAATTTTTTCATTTTATTGTAATATGACTTAACCTATATTAATTTTATTAAAAATAGAAATATACTCATATCATTCTAGATGGTTAAATAAATTGAAATAAATGTTTAAAAACATTAATTTTTTAAAAATGATAAAATATTTTATATAATTAAATAGTTTAAGATAATTTTTATAAAATAAATATAATGATTATATATATATATATATATATATATATATATATATATATATATATATATATATTTTTTTTTTGAAATACTAGATACAAAAAATCCTTACTAAAGTCCAAACCATGTGATTCCTAGAGAAATTAGGCCTAGGTGGTTGGTGTTGGTTCTCTGTGAAAGGTCTTTTGGACTTTGCATTTAAACATTGCTTTGCAAGAAAAATGGTTATGGAACTTCTACCCATAAGAGGCTATATTAGTTTTTAATGGATGTGTATCCACTATCTGCTGCTGATGAAAATCATCCTTGGTTTAAAAGGTTTCCTTGGTTGGAGTATTCACCTGAAAAAGATGTAGTCTTTTGCTATCCATGCTATTTATTTTCTAAAAAATCAAGTCCATTCATTTCAAAAGGGTTTAGCATTGGAAAAAAGTGAATAGTAATAATTATTGTCCATTTTTATCTCATATTGGAAGAAGTCATAATTCACCTCATAATGTTGCTCCCAAATCTTGTGAAAATTTTAAAAATCAATCTTGGCATATTGATAAATTGCTATGTAAGCAAACTTCACAACAAGTTTTGAATAATCAGTTGAGTTTTAAAACTTCGGTGGATGTTGTTAAATGGTTAACATTTTAAGTTTGTGTTTTTAGAGGACATGACGAAAGTATGAGATCTAGAAATCAAAGTAATTTTCTTGAAATGGTAAAACTTTTGGCTTGTTATAATAAAGAAGTAGATGAAGTTGTTTTGGGAAATGTTTCTCAAAATGCAAAATACACTTCACCTACAATTTAAAAAGAGATTTTGTAAGTGTTTGCAAGAAAGTACAAAATGAAATAAGACAAGAGATTGATGATGCAAAATGTTGATTTTTTTATATTTAGAAGAAGTAACTTGACATAATGTCCTATGCAAGCTTCCTTGAGGTAACATTTATAATTATATTTTCAAAATTAAAGCATCATTGTTATTTTTCTTGTTTAGTTGATGGTTAAATGATACTTAAAAATTGACTAATCTTCTTTTAATCTATACATATTTATTAAGAATAATTTTGTTTAAAGTTAAAAGTGAATAAATGTCTTAATCCGGTCTTCTTTATATTCGAATTCCCATTAATTAAAATTTTTACCCCATGAAAATAAATTTCTACCTCCGGTCCTGGTGACGAACAAGTTTACCGTTGACCATGGTTCTCTTATTTTGAATGGATTGACACTCATAATTTTTTATATCCCAAAAATAATATTCTCAAAAAAAAAATTATTAAGAACTAATGTTATTAAAATGTTCTTTCTGTTTTTCTTAAATTATATAAATACATTATTAAAATGTGTTATTGAACAATAATATATATATATATATATATATATATATTATATAATAAATATTCAAATATGTAGGATTTTTTTATAATGATGAGTTATTATACTAAGTTATTATATTAAAAATAAATAATGAAAAAAACATAAGAAGTAACTCTTATATTTACTAATTATTCTAAAAAATGGAAATTCTCACTAATTATATATTATGTTCTCGTGTGTGGCTTACTAAGTTATTTAAAAAATAAAAAAGTAGAGATTTTAGCCTCACATTTTACCACATTGTAATAACTATGTAGAGATTTTAGTCTCACATGGTTTCTATTCTCACTTTTCTCATATAACATGCGCGAAATAAAGTTTGATAATAATATTATAAATTAAAAGAATAACTACTCTAATAAAGTAGAGATTGTAGTTATTTAAATGTTATAATTTTTTTATATGGTTTTATTATATTTTTTGTTTTTAAAAATATTTTTTATAATATCTTTGTAACAACTTCTACATCACATTCTTTAGTTTAATGAGATTTTTTTATTATATCTCTTATTTTAAGATAAACTTACTTTTTATCATATTTAATTTAAAATTAAAAATATATTTGAGGATCGAAAAAAATAAAAATAAAAGTTGATAAAATTTAAGAATAACACAATTTTCCTCTTATAAAATCAACTAATTAATTCAATAAAATTAAGAAAATTGATTAACTTAGTCATGATATTAAATTTTTATATACATACTCTCAGTCAAGATACAAGATTTAGAATAATTTTCAAGAAAATTGAATTAAAAAAAATGAAAATTAACCAATTTAATTTTATAATAAAATTATTTTAATTTAGTCGATTAAAACTTTATGTATTTTGGATTGCATTAATCTTTTCGGCTCAAACCCTATCATATATTTTTAATATAATAACAATTATATTTTTTTCAAAATATATTCATTTCTTTTAACAAATTGATATTTATCTTTTTATAATATTTAAAAGTAACATGTTAACTAAAAATTTATATATAAAATTATGAAAGTTTAAAATTATTTTTTTAAAACGTTTAATATTTCATAAATAATTACTTATTATATATTAATGATATTTTAGAAAATATTGTCACTCAATTATAATTTGTCATACAAAATATAAAAAATATAAATTTTTAGAAAAAAATATATAGATAGCGTAGCCTAATTATTGCCTATATATGGTATAACATGCATGGAATAAAATGATTTTGGAAAAAAAAATTAGAAAAGCAAAAGTATTAAAAAAATAGAACATTGTGAGCCACGATAAAATGGAGTGAACCATACACAAATCTATTGTCTGCAAGGAAGGGGAAAAGGTTTAAATTGAAGGTATTGATTGATTTATCTAAATTTTGAATAAAAATGATATAATATATATATATATATATATATATATATATATATATTAATAATTTAAATTAGTATATCATTATTAGTACATTAATAATTAAATTTAATTATTACTTCTTTTTCAAGTGTTATTAAACACATAATATTATCTTACATAATATTATCATTATTAGAGTAATAAAAGAATATTTTATAAAGGTTTAATTAGTTTGGATGCACATCTAATTTGATTGTTATAAAATTATAATAATCACTTCAAATATATTTTTGATTTATTATAATAAAATATTTTACAAAATATATACATTTTAAATGTAAATATAAATTACAAAATACAATAATTTAAATATTTAAATTAATTTAGATGCATTTTCAATTTAGTTATTACTAATATTATAAAGATGATAATCACTTTATATAAACTTTTAATTTGATTATTATATAATTATACAAGTTTAAAATAATTTCAAACATACGTTTAATTTAACAACACAAATAGATAAATTAAAATAAATTATTTACAAATATTTGTAAGAAAAAACTAAATTACTCCGATTCTCCATTGCATCGGGATACATAAGAGCAAAGAGATGATATCTGTTGAGATAAAATATATAATATTTTATTTTTAGTAACAACGTTTAATCGATATATAAGTTTGAGGGATAAAATAAATAATTTTAAAATATTAAATTTTTTTTTGTCTAATTAAAGTTAACCGTTTTTAGAACGGATGTTGTAAGGTGTTAATATCTTCCTTACACATAATCGACTCTCAAACTCAATCTTTATTTCGTAGACCCCTTTTTTTTCTTTTTAAAGATTTTTTCGATATTTTTCCTTAAAATAAATATTGGTAGCGACTCCATTATTTTTTCATTCATTTAAAAACATAATTTTGCGGTACAGTACGACAATATAATTCATTTTTTTCTAGAGACTCAAATCTAATTTTTATCTCCAGAATTATCTAATGATGCATGAATGATTTTAATAAATTTATAAAAATATATTTATATTTACAATTAATTTTTTATCTCTGCATACTTAAAAAAAAATTCTTGCACTTTGAATTTAAAGTAGTCTCTTATTATTATTATTATTATTAGTATTATTATTATTATTATTATTATATTCTTATTCATGTTTGAGTTCATATATAAAAATTACTAAGAATAAGTGGAGTTATATCCGTTAACACATGATTAAAGAATGATTAAGGTAAGTAATCTTATTTACAAGTAATCATTTATTGGATTAAGTTCAGTCTTAAAAAATTATTAAAGTTAACTAATAATAATATTATTTATTGTCAACAAATTTATAATAAAAAACTAATAATAAAAACAGATGACACGGATCTAATTGCAGTATAATTTATAAATATATGAAAACAACATCTCTTATGGTTAAAAATAAGATTATAAAAATATAATAAAAACGGTGAAAAAATTCGTTAGTTCAATTATGAATTTAGAAGAAACATTTCTCATAAATTGATAAAAAAAATAGTGGTGATATTTTGACAACCAGAAATCATACAACCCTTCAAACAACTCACTTTTATTAATATAATAATCTATAGAATGATTTAATAAAAATAAAAATAAAGCAAAACTATTATTATAATATTAAAAAAGAGTTATTTACAGGAGTTGTATGGATTTGGGTTGTCAAAGTATCATTTTCCAAAATCTATTTAATAACATTTCTTATTACTATCTAGAAAAAAATATCATTCCCGTAATATCTTCTCGTCAATCCATTGTCCTCTTAACTGTAAAGTAGACACAAGATCATGTAATTAACTAGAAGCACACTAATCCGTCAAATACACACTCAACAATGATGGATAAGACCATAACGTGCCTGAACCTGCGCCCAAAGAATCTCTGGATATGATAATCAACGCCAGATCCATTTGTCAAGTAAATTATCATTCACTTTTAACTTGAATAATGAGAAAAAATACAAAATATCATTCTATTTTTTTTAATATAAACTAATTAAAATCATAGAAAAATATAAATTAAGTGTTCTTGCTTGCTCTGTGTTGCCTGTCACTGTTTACTTCAATCACAACAATTAACTTTATATGTTTTTGATGAAATTTAAAGTGCAAATATTTTTCAGGCTTCCATGTGTGGACGATTCAGAAGTTTCCTTAAATATATATTTGCTTGGGAGAAGAATTTTCTGGCGGAGAACTGTTCTTCCGGGGTGTTCGATGTGATTTTATGTTGAGACTACTAAATTTTGCTAATGTTGTTTTTATTTAGTTATAGTCATTGTTGAATCATATATTCTAATATGAATTGATTCATTGAATTGATTTCATTAAACATATATGAATTGATTTCACACTTTATTAATTGTATATTCTAATATGATTTAATCTTTTTAAAATATAATTTATACTATTTATTGACTGGAATTTTGTTGTTTTTCAATAGTAGTTTTTTTATTCAATATAACATTTCACAAATTGATAATATAATTATATATTATAATTTAAATAGATTGGAATTCACATAAAAAAAATATTGTCAAATAATATTAATAATGTATATCCATGTTTTATTATCCCATTATCGTTTGATTCATTTAGTTTTTTTTTTAATTTAATTTAAGATGTTCTTAATAAAACCAAATTTGTATATTATAAGATTACTATTTCACTTTTATAATTTTTTAATTTTGTATATAATGGCTGAACCTCGTACAGGAACTTATAATTTTGAAATGCTTCAACCACAATTTTGTAAAAAACTGATGTCTGAGGTATCACATTTCTTTTCCTTTCCTTTTCATGCAAATGTAATTTTATCCATCTTATATTTGTGTTTTTGTGTTCTTATCAAGTTTTGATTGCTTAGGTGGATAGTTTTGAAAGATGGTTTCGTGGTACCAAACTAAGAATCATGCGACCTAATGCAATGAATAAACATGGTGTTGTTCTTGATTATTTTGGCCTGGAAACCATGCTTGACAGATTTTTGAGTGATTTCATACATCCTATGTCACGAGGTTATTTATTATTTTTCTTAATGAGAATAAATTAGAAAATTATGATTGACATGAAGAAACTAAAATAATGACGTGGACTAACTTGTGCAATTTGATTTTTTTTTTTTTGTAGTTTTCTACAGTGAATTTAGATTAATATCTCAAAATATCACCATGATACAAAAGAGTTCAAAGGAAGTGCACCGAATCCACTCATGTTGGCCATTACAATACTCTAATTGATAAAGAAGTGAAGAATTGATGAAGATTAGACGAAACCCTAGCAGTAGTCGTGTCTCCTCTTCTCCAAGCACTACAAGAAAAACATCAAATAGTGACCGAAATAGTGACCAACTGGAATCGGTCACTATTTCCTTGGTCACTGATTTTAGTGACCGATTCAGTGACCGATTTATATCTATTATTTATTTTCCCTATTTCTTAATTATATTATATTTTGCTTATTTAAGTTTTTATTTATATTTATTTCCCCTATCTTTATTATATTTTTTAGAAGTTTAACTTATTATTAGGTGGTTTATTGTCATTGTCAGGATTCGAACCCGGTACCTTAGAGTTGGAGGTCGAAACTCCAACCACTGAGCTACTTAGGATCTTTTAATAATAACTTACAAATAAATTATATTTATATACAAATAAATGTATATCCAGTATAAATATATAAATATAAAATCTATAAATAAAAATATATTTATATATTTTAATATATAAAATCTACAAATAATGGTATATTAGTATAGTATCGTATATTTGTATTCTAATTTTTAATTAAATTAAAATTATGCTAATAATGTATATTAATATATGAGGGGATAATATTGATATATTTGTATATATATATATATATATATATATATATATATATATATATATATATATTATATATATTTATATATTGATATATTGATATATTAATATATTTATATATTTATATATTAATATATTTATATATTTATATTTTTATATTTTGATATATTTATATATTGATATATTTATATATTTATTTATATCCTTATACATTTATATCTTTATATATTTATATATTTGAAAAAAAATATTAAATTTTAAAAATAATATTATATTTTTAAAAATAAATATTAGAAAAAGATTTAAAAATATATATAAATTATATTTACATTTACAAAATATTAAAGATATATGTTTATATCTTTACATATTTATATATATTTATATGTTTATATTTTTACATATATTTATATCTTTCCATATTTATATATTTATATATAAAGATATTAGTTTTGTATACAAATAATATTATAATATAGTATATTATACTATTAGTATAGTATACAAATAATATGTTAGTATAGTATAGTATACAAATTATTAATTTTGTAATTTATATACAATGAAAATAATATAATGGTATATTGGTATAGTATATTTGTATTCTAATTTTTAAATAAACTAAAATTACGCTAAATGTATAATAATATATGAGAGGATAATAAATTTAATCCAATTACTTTTATAAATATATAAATATAAAATCTATAAAATATTAAAAATGATATTATATTTTTAAAAACAAATATTAGAAAAAGGTTTAAAAACTAGTATTATCTTAAATTTATTAAAAGTATAATTAAATCTCTATTTTCTTAATTTTTTTTAAACTTCTCAATTCTACATTTTTGTAAGTTCTATCATTATATTATATCATCCTCATCTCCTCCCATGTTTCTACTTTATCTTTACAATAGTCAATATTCTTAACTAATTTATAGTTTTAATTATAATTTTTTAGTATATATTTAGAAATTAATCAATTCTAATCTATTATTTGAAAAACTAATCAATTCTAATCAATAATTTAGAAAACTAATCGATTATAATTAATTATTTGAAAAAATTACCAAATATGATCGATCATTTCAAAAATATAATCGATCAGAATCAATTATCGCTCGAGCGAGACTAGACTCGCTCAAGCGAAATACACCCGAGAGTACCAATTTTGTGCAGGGGCAGTTTCGCTCGAGCGAGAAACTTATCGCTCAAGCGAAATACAGGTTTAGATAGCGGTTACACGAGAACCGCTCTTAAAAGCTCACTTAGATAGCGGTTAACCGTTGAACCGCTATTATATGGTTACCATTATGATCGGTCGGAATGCAATTATGACCGATCATAACTATTTTAATCGATTAAAATCTAGTTTCAATCGATTAAAACAATTTCTACGCAACGTTTTAATCGATTAAAACTTATTTTTATCAGTTAAAATAACTTGAAAACTTATATTAACTATTTTTTTATATTATGTTTTTAAATTTTCTATTAGAGAAAACCTTTCAGAATTCAAAATGTTAAATACTTTTAAATATTAAAATTAACTTTGTCAAAAATTAGGAAAAAAAATTAATCCAAAAGAGTTCAAAAATGTATTATAATATTGTCAATTTTGAGTTTAATTATATGGTTCATTCTCAAAGTAGAAAAATATAATTTAAAATTTTAATACTAAAATTAAAAGATTAAATAATAATAAATTCAATTCTTTAAATTCAGTAGCTAGAAACTAAAATTATAGTTTCTCTGTTTGAAATAATTAAAATAAATATTTAAAAATAAAAATCAAAACTAGTATTATCTTAAATTTATTAAAAGTGTAATTAAATCTCTATTTTCTTAATTTTATTTGTTTCAAACTTCTCAATTCTACATTTTTGTAAGTTCTATCATTATATTATCATCCTCATCTCCTCCCATGTTCTACTTTATCTTTACAATAGTCAATATTCTTAACTAATTTATAGTTTTAATTATAATTTTTTAGTATATATTTTAGAAATTAATCAATTCTAATATATTATTTGAAAAACTAATCAATTCTAATCAATAATTTAGAAAACTAATCGATTATAATTAATTATTTGAAAAAATTATCAAATATGATCGGTCATTTTGAAAATATAATCGATCAGAATCGGACTTCGCTTGAGCGAGAGTAGTCTCGCTCAAGCGAAATACACCTCGGATATCTAATATGCACTTTAGATAGCGGTTACGAGGGAACCGCTATTATATCCTCTCAATTATAATCGGTCATTTCAAGTTATGATCGATCAGGATCGTATTTCGCTCGAGCGAGAGTAGTGTCGCTCAAGCGAAATACACCCGAGAATGTGAATTCGTGCACTTGGAGTTTCGCTCGAGCGATAATATTGTCGCTCAAGCGCAATACATTTTAGATAGTGGTTCCACGGAACCAGCTCTTAAAAGTGAACTTCTAATAGCACTTCACCATTAACCGCTATCTTAATTATACTTTAGATAGCGGTTAAGGTGGAACCGCTTATCATATCATCTCAATTAAAAACAAAGTATTTTGACAAAAGTTTTCTCAAATGCCTCTACAAAGTATTTTTAACAATTATATTGAGTTTAATTCTACAAATTAAAAGATTAAATAATAAATTTAATTCTTTAAACTCGATAGCTAGAAACTAAAATTATAGTTTCTCTGTTTTAAATATTTAAAATAAATATTTAAAAATAAAAATTAAAACTAGTATTATCTTAAATTTATTAAAAGTGTAATTAAATATCTATTTTCTTATTTTTATTTGTTTCAAACTTCTCAATTCTACATTTTTGTAAGTTCTATCATTATATTATCATCCTCATCTCCTCCCATGTTTCTACTTTATCTTTACAATAGTCAATATTCTTAACTAATTTATAGTTTTAATTATATTTTTTAGTATATATTTAGAAATTAATCAATTCTAATCTATTATTTGAAAAACTAATCAATTCTAATCAATAATTTAGAAAACTAATCGATTATAATTAATTATTTGAAAAAATTACCAAATATGATCGATCATTTCAAAAATATAATCGATCAGAATCAATTATCGCTCGAGCGAGATAGGCTCGCTCAAGCGAAATACAACTCGAGAGTACTAATTTTGTGCGGGGCGTTTCGCTCGAGCGAGAATATTGTCGCTCAAGCGAGATGAGGTTTACATAGCGGTTACACGGAACCGCTCTTAAAATATGACTTAGATAGCGGTTAACCCTTGAACCGCTATTATATGGTTTCAATTATGATCGGTCGGAATTCATTTATGGCCGATCATAACTATTTTAATCGATTAAATCTCGTTTCAATCGATTAAAACAGATTCTACACAACGTTTTAATCGATTAAAACTTATTTTTATCAGTTAAAATAAC